TTGGGTTTTCCGAGGGGGCTTGCATATTTTGTCATATGCAGAATGGCTATTAAATATGTGCATGACATGGTATGGAAATTTAAACAATAGATGGATGTCTTTAGAAGTTATGGACATTGACAATACCTATCAGATTGTGGAGCTGTCAATGATCAATGGGAAGTTCATTGTTCCCATTTCAACGGCAGGCTTGAATGGAAGTATTTTAATTGCATTCATCAAAAAAATGATTTGAATGGAAAAATATTGGGTAAAAGTAGTAAAAAGGTATTTCAATACATTGGTTTACATTGGAATGACTAACATAAAAACCCAAAATTAATATTTCATCTAAAAAACATATACTTACATCAACTTGATTTAACTTCACAAGCCATTACCAGCTACATAATAGATTATCCAATCTAGTTTCCTATAGGTGCTCGATAGATTTCATTGAAAGACAGATGATAGGGTAGGCACTTGGCCTCTAGAGCTTAGTTTTCAAAGTATAGTTACGTTCAGCATTCATAACAACAAAATGCATTGGAAGGAAAAACAAAAACGGAAAAATGCAATTGAATTTTTTTGCATTTCATTCGGAAAAAAAGATCAATAAAAATCAAATAATACGAGAAAACTTGCCGAGTCTGGGGGATCAATCACATTTATGCTAATTAAACTTACATAATATCCTTGCGGTTTGGGTACATGGACCGTATGCCTTGACAAATTCAATTCAGATTTTGTTTTGACAAATTTCGAGTGTGCCGAAGAAATGTAAAATGCTTAGATAAGCCGGCCAGATATCGATGCCGGTTTAGATACAACGCGTATAAGTGTAGCAACTCTATTATGCATCCAAGATGTTGGGGAAAATGTGAGGGGTGTGAGGTTGAGACCCAGGGTAGTTCCGTGGGGGTGGTGCACTCCATTGTAGCACAATGAACGGCTGTTTTGTGGTTCTTGCACTTTCGCTTTATTAATATGCACACCACCTACATTTGTGTTGCTCGCTTTTCTCGATCCGATCGATCGATTTCTCCGCTGCAGTTCAGTGGCCAGCTACGGAGGGATCGCCGGAATGGATTGTATAGTATGGATTGTTTCGGATCGGCTCAGATCAAATCGGATCGGTTCGAAACCCGTTAATTCCGTGCATGCTGCATAAAGCAGAAGGGAAATTGTTACGGGAAGACGATCTGCGATCACAGATCACCGTTCCGCGATCGATGCGGATGCTGGGACCATTGTTCTACTGCTGAATTGCAAATCAGGCCCATAGTTCTCACTGCTGCAATTTGCCGTTTGTTGGGGCAGGCAGCAACCACAGTTCTTCCCGGGATGTTTTTCCGTTTTCCACACTGCGAAAAACAAAATGTAGTTTTTATTTATTTAAGGAAACGAGGAGCCATCTCATTTTGAGCTCCAGCATTCTCTCTAGAGCGAAAAATGAAATGGTGAATGATGAAGGATGGCTCCTTTAATGTTTAAAGAAATATTGGAGCCACATTATATAAAGAACCAATAATATACACGAATATACCTGTAAAAATAAAAATCTTTATAAATGTTTGCAGATAATAAATATTAAAATAAGATATGATAATATCACTTAAATCTTTACCAAACTATTATAATTTATACAAGTTTGTAAGCATTCATAGATTAAGGCATCATTATAAAACTAAATGAAATGTGGCAGGAATTAAATTTCTCATTGAATAAACTTCCATCCAGTCTCCAAATGGAAATAAGGTATGCTAAAAGCTTAAATTTAGTACATAAAATTTTAATAAATTACTTTTAGAATATTTCCCTATAACCTATGAACTTTGTTGACCCCCTCTTACCTCTCCCACATTTTTTCCCAGTGCATGTTGAAGCTCCAGTTCAGTCAACCCGCCTGGTCAACGACTTACAGCCGCTGGACACACGTGGGTGTGGAGCGTGGTGTCGTTGGCGTGGCCTTGTCGCTTCCCCTGTCCAGGTTGAATGTCCCGTTGTGTCTTTGAACTCCCTGCCAGGGCTATGGCTATATCTATAGCCATGGGTCTGGCTATGGCATAATGCCCAGCGAAGTCGCCAGACAGTCAGACGTCTCTGATGAATGAGACAACGAACCCGCTGGCCTGGCCGCTGGCATCAGCCGCCGAACGCCGAAAAAGCCGAGAGATAAATCAATAAATAAGCAAATACCAGCCAAAATCGAAATATACCTGACGCGATCTTCGCATGCAAATGGGGATGGTGGAGTTCTCCCCCTCGACGGCCACTAATTAAAATTACAAATTCGCCCAGCATTGGGCAAAAGGAAGACGCCTCTTCTGGCTCCGGCAATTAGCATCGCTAGGTTCTTTGCCGGATTGATATATGCATAAAGACGGCTACGTGACTTGAATGAAAGCGCTCCCCCGATGACAAAATCCTTGATCGCAGCGTTCATTGATCTTCGCTCTTGCATCTCCAGAGGCTGTTGCCAAGTCGGAGTTCCAAAGTTGCAGCCCCCACGAAAAAGAGATTCTCCAGAATGGACTTGAAGATTCTAGTGGTCTTCCAAGGTATTTGAGAGAGACGGCAGTGGTATCGAAATGGGTCTAAAACGAGTTAAAATAGATCCTAATAGGTATACGATCATTTTTTCTCAAAAGTAAAACTCTCTTCTATCTAAATTGGCTATCATTTCATAAGAAATAACTACAGAATTAACTTTTACAATACAAGCACTTCCAAGTTCTGTACCAACCTCACTACCAAATAGTTTCCTGCCACTCTAAAGACCATCTTCCCACAGTGCCTTCGTGCTGATAAATAAATTCTGGCATTAACTTGCCATATATTTTCATTATGTGCGACACAGAAAGTCGTGTTTTATTTCAACACAAGTGGATTTTAATAATAAAATGTGTCTAATTTGGTACCCACTCGGAGTGGACAAGAAAGGAAAATAAAAGAGGGAGAAACCTGATTGCAGCCGAGCCTTTTTATATTTATTTTTATTCCGCCAGCCCACCACCATGGTGGACCATGGGATGAGATGTGGCTGCCTTGGCTGCACTTTCCTCGGCGGCTTCCTTCCCGGCCTCACTCACATACATACATTTGTGGTACGTGCGAGGCGTCAATGCTTCATTTCCACTGTCATCTTAAGTTGATTGCAAGTTACGACCGTGTTGACACCCTACCTGTCTCGCTCCTCCTTCGTGGCTAACGGTAATTGCAGTTGCGCATGCGTGCGCCGGGGTTATGCCTCGCGATCGTATTATCCCCGCACTGCGAGCACTCCGGGATCGGGACTTCGGGTTCGGGGTTAATTCCCGGCCTACTCCTGGCCATGTGCGGGCGGCTTATTAATCAGAGCGTTCGTTGCACAACGCTCCTGCCACGAGTCTTTCGGGCATGATTCATGCTTAATTGGCTCCAGATAGATACACTGCAAGAAATGGGGTACTAATTAAAACTTAAATTATATTTTTGAGAACCTATAGTGGTTTGGTATATGATATTTCGACTGAAGCTAAGATCTAGTTTAACATATTTAACTTATTATTTCTTAACTATTAATGATTTCTATATTTTTTAATGGAAAAACCATGATATGGCAAGTGATATTTTTAAACCAGGTTAGAGATGAGGTTTTATTTTTGTTAAATACATATTTCATGGAATCATATTTGTTTTATGATTATAATATTATCAAAATTATGGTAGACCTATAAGGTCTAGCCACTTGTTCCCAGTGCCCCAGCCCGACAGCGAAACCAAATAGCGAATCCAAACCCGAGACCGATCCAGCTGTAAGCCGTGCAAATCTCACCCAAGTTGTCAATTTCTCAGACAACACATTTCAATCAAACTTCGCCGTGCCATAAATAAGCCGCCAAGTGGACAGATCCAAAAACCCGGTTCCACTCCAATCTTTTTTAAGTCTCCCTCGCTTAAATTACACATTGTACTTGCGGTCGGCTCTATATATAATGGTCGAGCACGCCTAACGTTCACATTTTTCCACATGAAATTATGAAGTTTCCATGGCAATTAATACGCATGCGCAGAGTTGCGAGCACCGGCGAGTAGTCCCAGTTCCAGTCTCGAATCCCCAAACCCAATCCCAAGCTGCCATTCCAGGCGGGTGTTGTCGTCCGTCTCCAACCGGCTCGGCTCGCATGTCAATTTGATGGCAATTAACTTGGCTCCGCTCCAGCCTTTGTTTTAATAATAAATTTAATGAGCTGCCAAAAATGGTTGCAAATTTACGTGGCAATTAGCGGGCTAAATGACGGCGACACTTGGCCAAGAGATCGTGCCTGGGCGGAAAGCTGCGACTCCAAGTGCCGAAATGTCCAAGTGTCCAGCTGTCCGTCTGCCTCTGCTCCATTTTGCTAATGAGCGCTGCGATTTTGCTCGTATCTTTGGGGCTTGGCTAAGAGGTGGTACTGGGTACCCAGTGGGTTTGTGTGCTTTTCGGTGCGAAGGCATTCGGAGGGTGTGGTTGCCTAGATTTTCGGCGGTGGGTCAGTTGGTAGCTGCAAGGTGACAATGTTGCTGGTGGCTTGGGTTTGGTCATCCATGTGTGGCTCTAAAACTGGTTGTTTATTTTTAAAATAGATCTGCTTAAGTAAGATTATAGTCGCACGTGAATTTTAACCAGAAAAAATAAATGGAAAGATATCAAAACATTCAAAAACAAGTACATTATACCTAGATTTTAATAATTTTAAAAATATTATCTATTTAATAAAATTCCAAACATCCTTAATTTTTCTCTAAAAATATAAACCTTGCTATGGTCGTCGTCTCAGACAAAACTACAAAATATTATTATTTTATTTGGTTTAGGTTTGTAAAGCACGTACCTTATAAAGGTACAACCACCTTAGGACTTGGAACTCCAAATTATTTTTTTTTAACTGAATGATATGTTTTTATGCCCATTATATCTACTCACCACCAGGTCTAATATAATAAAACGATAAGCAATGTTCACAAAAAAATTCTTATTTGTTCTAGTATGCGTTTACAGCTTTGGTTTTTTATAAAACGCTAGTCTAGGTCTACAAAAAAAATTCTTATTTGTTTTAAGACGCGTTTAAAGCTTTGGTTTCATAAAAAAGATGTGACAGCGACGAAACAATTTGAAAGGTCACAATCCATTCGCCTACAAGCCCGTCATCTGGGGATGGTATCCGTGCAGCTCGTACAGCTCCTCCTTGGACAGGGTCCGCTCCAGCTGGTCGGGCTCCAGTTGGAAGTGGCGCGGCAGGATCTTCCACTGGCACATGTTGAAGTAGTTGTACTCGCCGGACTCCTGGAAGCCCCTAAACAAGTAGTTGGGATTGTCCGGCTGCCGCTTGATCCAGAGGCGCTCGAACTTGTGATAGCGCCAGCCGCGTTCCGCCAGCTCCGCCGCCGCGAGCATCTGCATCATGTCGCCCGTGTAGGTGTAGAAGAAGAAAAACAACAGCTCCACCTGCATCTCCTCCGTCTTCGGGTGCTGCATATTCAACCTTCCAGCCAGTAGATAGTTCAGTGGCACATTGTAGCTCATCTCGTGGGGATTCAGGCGGGCTCCCTCAAAGGGCCCGGCGAAGGTGGAGTGCGCATCGTTTGTGGCGCCTCCGAGTCCGACATTGGGCGGAACATCATTTCCGAAAATATGGGGCATTAGTTGGGGATTACGCTGGGCCGATCCGAGGCGTTTGGCCAGTCCCAGCATACCAAAAGATCCCTCGACAGCGGAAACCGGAGTGTGAAAGTTCAATTGCCAAACCCTGTCATAGAGAGGGGACCCCAGCTCCAAGTTTACTCCGCCCAGTGGCATGCCTGAATTGGTGGTCCTCAGGCGCGCAAAGATTTTCATGTTCTCGAAACCGGGAGGCGGATGGAACCCGCTGGCACTTCTATTCGGGACTGACGCCTTGTGGGCCGAATTTATGGCCCTCTGACGGACACCTTCGTGCAGGAACTGCTTGCCAAAGATCAGGCTCACATCGAAGCGGGGAGGATTGGCCACAAGGCCGTACACTTGGGGAAGGAACTCCATGTCCTGCTGCTGCTCCGGGTTCTGGTTTTTCGGGAGGAAGGCCTCGCTGCAGCCCACATTGACGTTCGCTTCGCTGTCTATGACTATATCGCGGAACTTGGCCAGTTCCACCTGGTCACCCTCGCTCAACATGGCAGTCCAGTCGTCGGGAACTGCGGGCGCCGAGGGTAATCTCGAAGTTCCCGGCAGAGCCGGAAAATCCTCCCGGAAAATACTGAATTCCGGTGCAGAGACCTGGGGTCGTGGAAGTGGGGGCAGCGTCTCCAGAATGGGCTGGTTCTTTTTCACCACATCTACGTAGAGGATGGGATACCCATTGGTTGGCGAAGATTTCGGAGACGACAATGGCGATACAATGGGAGACGGGCTCGGCGAACTGGACGACTGATCATCCATGATCTTGGGGATATTGCGCTTCATCGTGACTCAGGATTTATATTAAACTCAGAGCTTATTCTGAAATTTTTTGGAATTTCGAAGAAATGACACACGTGACGGCTTCCGCTTTGCAATACTTTTGTTCCGTTTGCCAAAATGACATTAAAAGCCCGTTTTCCAACACTGTTTATCATAATAACACCCGATTACTCGATAACCGCTAAACGATTAAAGCCATTTCCCGGAAATACATGGGCTAATTGTTATTGTTTAAAACTATAAGTACATTTTAGAGGCTCAAACAGTTAGAAACATATTTATTTCAGAATCTTCCTTGGCAACAATGGGTCGTTTTCAGATATTTATTAATACGGCAACTTAAAAAAAAAACAATAAATACTTTTTTATTGTTTGAATATTAAGCTATTAAAGCCACACATTTAAATTAAAAAACTGTAATGCTTTTTGAGCCATCCACTTAAAACTGTAAAATCAAACAAAACCTGAATTTGAAGTTTTCTGATAAATTAATGTCTGCCTTGTGTGGGTGCCACGGAAATTGCCATAAAGCAATTTAAAAGCTACAGTCATAAATTTAAGGAAATTCACCTGCAGCTGGCGAAGAAAACGTAGGAAAAAGATTAAAACTACAAAAAAATAAGAAAAATAAGACGCACAAAAAAGGCTCATCTATAAAGAAGTTTAAAAAACTGGTTGGGGAGTATAACCCATTAACTTAAAGTGACACCCGACTAACATAAATCTCGTTCTTTGGCCAGGCAAATGTCTCTGGGAATTGACAAAGGAAAGGCCGCTAAAGCAGCGAAGGAGCACAGAAGACCACGAGGAGGTGGAAGAATATCAGGCTAATAGCCCAAGTGCTCCTGCCCACAAAAAGTTGAGGAGCATGTGGTCATTTGCCTGCCGCAAATCAACGAACTTGTCCAGCGGCCACAAAAGTCACAACACTCGTGGAATCAGGTGCACGGCTCCCACTGCTGCTTTCCTATGGGTGCTCCGCAAATTAAGCACAAATAATATAAAAATACAATAACATAGAATCCCAGCCGCTGGGCAAGAAAAATGATACACATAAGCACGGCCAAGTGCAGGATCAGCACACGAAAAACGAGGAAATTTGGAGCGGTTTCAGGACCGTAGATCGTAATACTCTTTTTAAATATATAGTAGGTTCAAGATCTTTGAAAAACTATTTCGAAAGCTATCCTAAAACCTGCGTATGTGAATTGATCACTGTCAATTCTTCAATTGAAGAATATATATGAAACACATCGTAAAAATTCTTGTATCTAAAGCTAGTAACAATATTATAAAGTATTTTGATCTCATGAATTTTAATTCAAATACCTTTAAATTATATTGTACTTACCGTATTTTGAACTTAACAATGTAGTGATCTGGTTCGTAAATTTCTATTTATTTTTATATACCATCTAAAAGTAAAATTGTGATATTAAAGATCTATAATGTATTCAAAATAGCCTCTAAAAGGGTATTGTAAAGCATCCAGATCCCAGGACCGACTAACGAAGCCAAGCAAAGCCATCACGAACTGCGGGCAGAAGCTGCTCCGGCCACATAAACTTCAATAAATCATACTCATGTTGCCGGGGACAGCGAAAAGGCTCCACGATGCGCAGTCCACTGGCCACGATCACCTGGCAGTTGGCCAAGAGATGAGTCAGGCCAATTGCGAAGCCATTAAATCGCCAGGGCCAGGGCCAAAGCCAAAGCCAGAGCAAGTGGAGTCTCTAGGCCGTCGAGCTGATCGCCGAGAGGTGTCAACTGGAGGTGATCTTAAATTGGATTTTGGCTTTCATTTGATTGCGAAATACTCATTTTATATATTTCAGGATATTACCCGCCCGCACTTGACGTGTCGCGTGGTCACTCCCAAAGCTAAACTTTTAAGTTTACCCAGCCATTTATTTTGTATACAAAAATCTACATTGAAGGGTGAAAAAATAAAATATTTTAAAAGGAGATTCATTCCAATATTTATGAGTGAAAATACAAGTAAATAAAATATATTGTGTAGGGGTAAAAGAAGTTTACACTATTAAAATTAATTTTGGTCCCCATCTGAACGTTGTAAAAATATTAAATCTAATTTATTTTATTTATTAGCTTGGGTATTTTAAGACTTTGAAATCAAGATCCATAATTGTAAGCTCCACTGTTCTGTTTGCAGTGTTGGGAACCTGTTGGCCGCCATCAAGGCGTGCATTATGGAAATTAGCATCGGCCTAAGTGACGCCCCATTCGTCGGCCCAAATAACCGTGCTCCAAACTCCAAGATCCACTGGGTGCGTGCCGCCATGTCGCCTAATGACCAGCGGGAGCAGCACTTGTAGTTGCATCTAAGACATCACTAAGCACCGAAAGAAGCTCTGGGATTTTACGAGCTCATTGGAACTGCAGCTCTGGCTGGGGGAACAGCCAAAACATATAACATGTGTGCATATTCCTCACCTCAGTGGGCTTAGTGGCAGGCGGGCCATTAGCCAAAGCGTTCAGCATAATGGCCATATGTTTATGGGGTTCTTGGCAGTCTTTAAAAATTATTCACAATAGGCGTAGATCACTCTTGGGACTTGCACAGCTCGTCTTTGTGGGCGTTCGCTTAGTAAAGTTTTTTTTATTTACGAGCACCTGGCCATGTTGCAAAAGCTACTAAACTCTCAAAGTTGCACTACTTAAAGAAGGAATTTAAATAAATATATTACACATGTTTCTTTGATGTTCGAAGTATATGTAGGATGGGTGGTATTACTTAAAAGTTTTGACAATAATTTATTTTTAGAAGTAGTAATTTATCTTTTCAATGTGTTTTCTCATTTTCACCGTTCGCATTTTAAAACTATTTAATGTAATTAGTTTAATCTTCCATCGATATAAGACTTTAATTTTAGATTATTATCTTAGACAAATAAAGCACCTTTGGTATTACTATTACAATTGTTTATTGATGATGTTATTAAACTTTTATAAAAAGCTAATGAACATATCAGATTCTTAAGTAGGAATACAGATGTCGTATATACCTAGTCATTTTTATTTTCCAAATAAAACATTTTAAATGGTATCTATAGAATTTAAAAGGGTATATTTAAAAATATTAACAATATAACTAAAAAACTACTACTAACATTTATACCTAAATCATTTTCTTATTCCTGCACTATTTACTTTGGTTATTAGCCAGGCTTTTCCCTTTGGGCTTTATGAGCTTAGCCATGGGCAAACAAATTATGGGCCATCATAAACATTGGCATGCTGTAACTGTTGCTTCGCCAACAATTGGCATTTGCAATCAGAGCAGCAGGAGAAGGAGCAGGAGCTGGAGCAACTGCAGCACGCACTGCCGGCAAGTGAATGGCAGGCGAAAATAGCCACGACAGGTAGTCCCTGGTAGTCGGGAGCTGGAGTTGGAGTTGGACTAACTTTCGGCCAACGTAGGTGGCACTTGGCTTGGACACTCGGAATGCCTGGCGGGGATCGGGGGACACTCACTAACTGGCCAAGTGTCAAACTTGCCAAATTGAAAACGAAGTTACGATGCAATCGCCGATTTGTTTATGCTGCCGTTTTGAACCGAACGCAATTATATTTATTTTTATTTTCATACTTTTTTGGTTACTTTTTATTTTCTGGGTTTCTGCTGCAGTTTTTGAATTTAATGAAATATTACGCGCACGTGTCAGCGGAGCGATAAAATTTATTTACGCAGCATTGCGGGTCAAGTGAAAGCACATTTTTCTGCAGGCCTTCGGACCTTCAAATTGAATTTACGCTGGGATTTCGCGATTTCGTTCGAGTGGCGAATTAAAAATCGAAACCGAAATCGAAATGTAAACCTGACTTAAAAATGGGCGTAGGGCAGTCGCATTGACACGCGGCCATATTTTAAATGTCAACAGGATGGAATGGGCTGGGATCCCCATCCCGATACAGATACCGATCCGATATGATCCCAAAAAAAAGAAGCCAAGGATGGGGGCAATCCGCCTTGTCCCTGCCCAGGCACATCAGAAATTCAATAAAATACCATTAAATTACAAAATGAAGACAATTCATTTTTCTTGTTTTCCTTATTTTCGATTCCCTTCGATGCGATTGCATTTTGTTTCTTTAAGCAGGAGCATTTACTGTCGCTTTGCGGTTATAAGCAATAAAGTATTAAAATCCTTCTGGCTTATAAACGTTGAAAGCGACATTTATCGTAATATTTTATGAAATCAGTGAATATTCGGTGAGCGTTGCAACTTAGTTGACTTGCTGGGTTTTCGGTTTCGGTTTTGGGTTTGGGTTTGGGTTCGGGTTCTATTGTGCGGCCATAAAACTGGAATGATGGATGTTAGTTGGACCGATGCTGAATCCGCAATTGAGGCTTAATTTATCTTGATGTACTTGCCGGTCTCAGTGGGTTGACAAGGTCAAAGATTATGGTTTCGATTTGCTGGTGATGTATGGGAATTGCTTATGTTCAATGACCTGAATGGTTTCGTATAGAGACATATTTTTAAGAATTTATTTAGGGGGATAATCAGAATTTTTATAGCATAGTAACTAACATATTTAGGCTGTGAAATATGGTAAACCTTGTCTAATAGATGTTTTAAAAAATTACTGAATAATGATATTATTTTGTTTACATTTTACAGAGCATCCCGTAGTAATAACAGAATATCCTCCCTTCGATGGATCATAATTTCAGCCATAATCGAATACCAGAGCCGAGGAAAAGGAAAGGAACGGATCGGGCCAAGAGTAATGGCCAAGGGTTGGCCAGGGCAACGCCCATCACATACTACCGAATCGAATCCGGGGCGATTTTTCTTATTGCCTTCAACTTTGCACTGCCGAAAATGTATACCAGGGCCCAGCCAAAAGAAAACAAGTAAGAAAACGAAAATACTGCGAGCCAGGCGCACTTTCAATTAATCAAGGAAATTAATTAAGGCCCGTGGATGGATGGTAGCCAAGTGGTTCAGTGACCAGCCAGCGGGCACCACGCTCGCCGATTGCAACATAATTTTCATTTGGCTCAGCATGCGTTTTCATCGTCGCGGTTATCATTTGGACATTTGGACTGGACTGTAACTGGGATTCGGATTCGGATTCAGAGTCGGATTCAGTATTCGTATTCGGATTGGGGCTGAGCTTGAGCCTGGTCAATTAGCACGCATGTAGCTCGCCGGGCGCTGGCGGGGCGATAATTAAACGCAGGTCGCTGGAGTTCGGTTGCCAATCCAGTCCAATCCGCTGGTGACAATTGGCCACGATTTATGCACCTACCCGATTGCGCAACATTTTCCAAATAAATTTTCGCGCCTAATCGCGGCCACCACAAAATGCTACACGCTGCGCCCCGGTCGCCTGGGTTAATGGGTAATCGGAGCGGTCCACTAAACCTCCGAGTGGTAGTAGCTCAGCACGATCACCATGTCCGCGGTGGTATCTGTGAAGGATCGAAGGGGGTACAGGAAAAGGAAGTACTTCAAATGGAGTAGTACTTACACCCAATCTTGAAGAATGCGTAGCCTATCAAATAGTAGTCAGTCACACCGATGGCAGCGATCACCATGTGACTAACCATTTCTAGGATCAGGCCAGCAAGACAGGTCACCAGGTGGACGGGCAGCAGGTTGGGATTTTCCTGAAAGACAGTACTACTCTCAGATAAAAACAATAACTAAAAGATTTCCCATCTTAATCTAAGAACTATTTGCCAAATATTTTGAGAATAAACGTTCTTGATATCAAGACGAAAGTACTCTCGTTTTTTTTTGGTTCGAAACGATCGTGAAATATAAAATAAATCTTCGCTTTGTTACTCGGGACGAATGTACTCTCGCAAACTGAGAACACTTCATCTTCATATTGAGAAGATAGGAATAATACATCTTTGCTCACTTTCCAGAATCAAGAGAATTATTTTATTACTGAGGGTATCTTCTCCCTTACCCTATAAATCGCTGTGAAAAGAACCATGTCTGAAAGGATGTTCCAAAAAGCAGAAATAATCCAGATAACCAAAATATCACCACAGAACTGCTGTTTACTTATTATAGTCCATATTGATTCCAATACATCTACGGTAAGGCCTGAAACCGCAATTGAAAGGGCACCGGTTCGTAAGCTAAGACAACAGCAAAACTTTTTCATTATTGGTATCCTGAAATCGATAGGAACTTGTTAGCACATGGGTTTTCTTCACTTTATGATTTGTACTTACGTGACAATTCTAACGACCTTTGGCTGTGGAACTTTTGGGCTCCATTGCTGTAGTCAGGTACTCGAATTTTCTACGACATTTGACAATTTTTCGAAAGGAATCCTTTTGATCAATTTAAGTAAAAAAAAATGTGGAAAATCCTGGACTTCCTTTAGTGTTTTGTGTAAAAATTAATATTTTGGGAAAATAAATGACAACATTTTAAAAGCATCTTAATAAAAAACTTTCAGAACAAAGAAAATCTAAATTCATAAAATGGGTTTTTCAAATAGGAAAAGTCAGGACCTAATTTAGACCCGCCACATTTATGTTTAATAAAGAGGATATAGTCCGTTGTTACTTTGCTAATTTAACAAACTTTGCAAAACATTTTAAAGAAATCAAAATCTAGATCACTTTTTCTATCACTCAAATTCTAAGGGTTCCATTTTCATACTTTGCATAACCAGATAGATTGTAGTTTGGCTCCCCTAGTTTGTATCAAAATTGAAAGTATAAAACATAAGAGTGGTAAAATGTGGCACGTAAAAACATCCCCTAAGAAGCGCCTAGTGCCACTCTCAATGGAACTGATAGAGGATATTATCTACCATGGGAACGAGTACCGAACACCACCAGGAAATCCTCGGGAGGTGGAGTGTGTGGGCGACAGCAGGGAAGCCCAACGAGGAGCACCCTCCACATTCACACAACCCATTCCTTTGGAGATCAGGCGACGCACTGAAGGATTAGCCGAGGGGCCCATTGTGGTGCCCCGTCCAATTTCAATGACCATCTTGCACAAAGCGAAACCAAAATTACAAAAGAAAACACCAATGGTCATGAAGCAGAACAAGGAGGTTAAGGATTCGATGGTAGAGCTTTGGGTCAGGGATCCCACCGTTAAGAAACTAGCTGAAAGGGTCAGGGATCCCACCGTTAAGAAACTAGCTGAAAGGGTAAGACTCTCCTTTGCTTCGAACTATGGAAAACCGGTAAAGCTGACACCCAGCATGGTTTTGACCAAGTTGGAGGCCCGCTTGGATACCTTAGCGAATGGTATGATGGCACTGCAAAAGTGGGTGCCCATCCTAATCAATCAGAACAGGAAGCTAATAAAGGGCAAGCCAGCTACTTTAAATGCTTCCCCATCACCTGTATCACTCTCCATCAAGTCGAGCTCTGATCCGGGTCAGGTAGACACTTCCTCCGATGATTCTACCGCTTCAGAGCTGGATCTGCGGGGTGATCAGTTGAAGACGGAACGTAATACCACCAGGGAGCTCTACTACGACATGCAGATGCACCTGGTCAACATGCTGGTGGTGCCCAAGTCCCACACCTCGCTGTTCCTCAACCAGCGAAAGGATTTGATGAGCCAAATGGGCGGAGGACATGGCCATTGGCGGCATCAGTATACCGATGAGGATTGGAAGCGGGATCGCGAGGCGGCCGCCTTCCTCAATGGAGACTCCTCTGGAGACTCGGCCACTCGGCGCTTGAAGAATGTGCGTCGTCAGTGAAAGTAAAAGATTTCTTTATTTGCCTCAAAACTATTTGAGAAATTGTGCCGGTCATTTGGGCGGAGGGGGGTATAAGCGTCTGGAATCTGGTCGGAAAAAGCTTTTAGCTGGGACATCTTGTCTGCGGTTAGGGCTAAAACAAAAGCCGTGTTTTTCCACGGCACAGTTTTTCCATAGCTATTTTTTGAGACTTTTGTCATGTGTGAGCTTTCTTCTGTGGCATCTCTCTGAAAAGGGTTAAGCGGGTTCGACCCCAGTTCTACCTCACATGATTATTTTCAAATCACAATCAAAAATAAATTATTAAACCAATATTACAAGGCAGATAATTGGGTAGGTATTCGGGAAAATAGGATAAAAACGTATGTTCAAAACAGGAATTTTTTAATGTGCTTTTTCGTCGTAATTCTGTTAAAATGGGTTCTCCAGCCAAAAAACAGACTGCTTTGTGTACCTAAACCTTAAGCTAACGATCCATATTACCTTTGGTTAGATTTAGGAAAATTTAAATTCATGCACATTTTGAATTTTTTACAAGGGGTAACATTATGATTTTTTGCAAGAATTAGACAAAAATAAATTTTTCTAGATTTGAATGCCAGTTGATTGAAAATTTTATTACGAGCTCATCAAGGTATAACATTACATTTTTGGACACTGTTATAGACAGCTTACAATCTTTTTTTTGTCAATTTTACATTTTTAACACTACATTAACATTTTTTGTAAAAAATCGACCAAATTCAAGTTTCAGACTTGAAGGCCAAACGATGGAGAGTTCTGTTACAATGGCCCATACAAATATTGGTAAATTAAACTGATATAAACTTAAACAAAACATCATGATATCCCTTAAACTTTCTTTTAGTGTACTATACACCTCAACTTTTACCCATTTGACAGCCGTTTCCCTGACATTGCATGTCGATCAGGCGGAATTCCCGCATCCTCCCCCTGCAAACATTTGCCAATTTGGGCTTGAAAGTAATGATTTTTATTACTGCAACGGCAACATTGAAAACTTCCCCCACCTGGAGTCACTTCGTCATGTTCGTGGTGCGGCGATAACCGCGGGCTCTTTGCAAATATTAGCACACAATTCGATTTTGCATGCCAACCCCGAGGAGGAGGATGGGGATTTGGAGTAGGAGGAGGATTGGGAGTAGGGTCTCCGGGGGAACCAGTCAATTTCCACGAGTGCAAGTGGCGAGTTTTCCATGACACTCCATGATCTCTCCACTGTCCTCCGGCAGCTGTGCGCTTTTCGCTTTCACCTGTTGGCCTGAGTTATGTAAAAATCCACTGTCAAATTAATGGTGATTTATATATGCGGCTTAATGGGCACTTGGCATGGGATGCGGGTACTCCGTTTACGGGGATCATGAGCGCAGTGTGAATGTGCCGAATAGATTGGCCTTAAACTGTTGCTGTGGGTGAATTACTTTGAACAGACCCAGAAAGGAGAATATAATGTTCAGTTAATCATGTTAAGGTCGGTGGAGAAAGGTTAGAATTAGTTTGCTTAGAAGAGAAGGGAAGTAAAGGAAATGAAGGCCTTACGACACTTGATTGACCTCTCATTAACTAACTATACCTAATTAAAACATGATTTAATGTAAACACTAAATTTCCGCTGATGAGCTGTAGACCCTCTTATTTGTTTTAGATTTCCCTTACCAAAAAAAAGTAATTATTAGTCAAAAGTTAAGCCGGTGTCATAAGGTCATTAATGCGAATAATATGTCGGTAAGCATGGTAAGAATTAGCATTATTCAACAAAGTATATTTCATAAAAATTGTAAAAGTGTATAGGGTTAAACATTCTATTTATGTTGCTTACAGTATTTTTAAATGTCTTACAAAATTTAACAATTTAGTAAATTATAAAAAAAACTTAAATTAAATTCCCAGTGACTTTAAAATCCACCTCTCCAGAGCCTGCTCTCAATAATTCCATGTAATGCAAGGTCGGGATCGACCTGAACACAACACCCAACAAGTGGTCCCGCTTAATCCGTCGTTTAGCTGGACATCCGCGGAATGTTAAACCCATGCACTTAGCGATAATCCAAGTCAAACAAAATGCCTACAAGTGGTCGGGGATTGGACCCGGGACTGCCTTAGCTTGTCGGGGGCAATTACCTGGACCTGGACCTGTCCGGGAGTGACTGATGATGGGACCCAGACGTATTCGCAGGCGTCGCGACAAAATGCCACCGCACTCAAATCCAAGAGTCGCGCGATTGGTGACAATAAAAGTGCAAGGCAATTTGCGAATGCGTCTCTAATTGAGCCCACTGGGGAGACAATTGGTAGATAAATTGTACACAAAGCGAAAATTTTGGTAAACAGGGTTTAGTCTAACCCTTTTGTTACAACAAAAGAAAATGAAGTAGACACATGTGGAACCTGTAATATTAAACATATGATTATTTTAGCTATCAAGTAAAAGATGCTTTAGAAATTATTTAGTGTTCCTTTTCTTAATGTGGTTGTTAAAACAGAAGATATTATTATTAAATGCAACCGATGATGTGAAAGATGTTATTTTTTATATCAGGTTACTTATTTTTTAGAAAGTTTAGGTTTACTTCTTATTATTATTATTTTGAATAGTTTTTCCCTTACCTTTGTACTGCGTTTTTTTTTTTACCAAAACATCCAGGTGCATTTGCCAATGTAAATTAACCGAAACGGTTTTAGAAAGGGGTCTGAGATGTCATGGCTTTGATTTAGTCGGACCCATGAAGGCTCTACATTTTTGCTCGCCTGCCAGGTGACAATCAGCTGGTATATTTATACCCGTTACTCGTAGAGTAAAAGGGTATACTAGATTCGTCGGAAAGTATGTAACAGGCAGAAGGAAGCGTTTCCGACCCCATAAAGTATATATATTCTTGATCAGGATCACTAGCCGAGTCGATCTAGCCATGTCCGTCTGTCCGTCTGTCCGTCTGTCCGTCTGTCCGTCTGTCCGTCTGTCCGTCTGTCCGGATGAACGCTGAGATCTCGGAAACTATGGGAGCTAGGCTATTGAGATTTGGCGTGCAGATTCCTGAGCTTCCTACGCAGCGCAAGTTTGTTTCAGTAGACTGCCACGCCCACTCTAACGCCCACAAACCGCCCAAAACTGTGGCTCCTACAGTTTTGATGCTAGATAGAAAATTTTAACTGAAATGTAATGTTCTCATCAATACCTATCGATTGACCCAAAAAAATATTTGCCACGCCCACTTAAACGCCCACAAACCGCAAAACCCTGTGACGCCCACAATTTTCATGCTAGATAAAAAATTTTAACTGAAATGTATTGGTCTCGTCAATACCTATCGATTGATCAAAAAAAAAATTTGCCACGCCCACTTTAACGCCCACAAACCGCAAAACCCTGTGACGCCCACAATTTTCATGCTAGATAAAAAATTTTAACTGAAATGTATTGGTCTCGTCAATACCTATCGATTGATCCAAAAAAAAATTTGCCACGCCCACTCTAACGCCCATAACGCTTAAATCTGTATACCGCCGCTAGGTGGCGCATTTTAATCTCGCTTTGCTGCTTGCATATCTCCATTTAGCTGAGTAACGGGTATCTGATAGTCGAGGTACTCGACTATAGCGTTCTCCCTTGTTTTACTCTAAATTATTTCTTTAATTTTGCGCACACATGAGCGGCGAATAGCAGGGGCATTTTCGAGGGGGGCCGGGAGAAAATGGACCTAGTGCGATCGGAATTTCATTTAGAAAGTTGCACTGGGAAGTCGATGTGGTGGTGGGGTTTAATTTGCATTTGCCAACTCTGAGCGACATTTGGCCAGGGGAAAGAGGGGGGAATTGAAACCGAAGCCCAGACAGGCGACATTCTTCTCCATTCACTTTTCTTGGGCCGAACAAAAAGCCGTTTAGCCACAATTGGGTCATTTAATAATACTCGTAATCGCAAAGAGGGGTCTCGGTACTCGGTACTCGAGACTTGGGACTCCCCCGCGCCGCTCACGATTTCCTATTCTAATTCTGTCAATCATGCGCTGCAACTGCTTTTTTCCCCATCGTGCTCTATTTGATCTTGATTTTGATCTTTAACTTGTCTTGACGCATATTTGATTTTGCCACACCCACCCGCCGCGTCTCCCCCATTTTCTCCGCCTTTTCTTCTTTCCAGCGAAATGCTTTCTACTCCGCACTGATTGTCTTTGTCTCTCGGCTGAAACGCTTGGCTTTAATGGTTTTTGATTGATTATCGCGTGCCATGGGTGCCCCAACCTCAGTGGGTGCTCTACAGACCCTCTCTAGACCCAGCTCCATCTCGGGATTCAGCTCCAGGTGGTGTCGCTTGGCCCACGATCGAATCTCTTCTTTTGTTGGCTTTCATTTGAAGTCTGCTTAATTAGCCCGATATGTGTGCCTGCCTTGTTGACTCCCTGCACGTGCTGTGATCTCTCCTGCTTCTCCACCCATATACCATATTATAACCCATAAGATACAATGTCAGTTCCTGGTACAAAACCCACTTGGGCAGGCATGAGTGGGCACATCGAATCGATTGTAGAAGTTCAAAGTTGAAACTTGTTGTACAAGGTGGAGAGGATGGGGTAAACTACGTGACGCATGTTTCATGGTCGGGGGAAAAGAAATTTCGTTCGGGGAAGTGGTAGGGCACCGAAATTGATTGGTCCAAAAATAATTAGAAATTTTGGGGCTTTTATTCGTAACTAATATGTTAACATTCATTAGTGCATACAAATGTTAGTAATATTTTTCAGCCAAAAAATGTTTGAGTACCTAGTTTAACATAGAAAAGCTTCTTTGCAAAAGGTCAAAGCCTAAAGACCAATAAAAATTAATGGACAGTTCACTCAAAACACTAACCTGAATTAATTTTCCATTAAAAGCATAGATAATCAAGCTGCAATATAACTTTTCCTGGCTCCCTCGACTTTCCACTCATTATGAATGTAAGCTGACAATCCTGGCCCGCAGTTCATCGATTGCTGCATCTCAATCGCGGCCATCAAATG